TATTCTGATATATAAGACAATATTTTTAATTTTTGTTAAAATAATTTACTTGGTGATTTAAACAATCTCACTTTTGGTCAGTGGTTAATGTGGACAAAAAAAGTAAATCGCTAGAACTTAACAAATTGGAAGATCCAGGACATGGGCTGTCACTAAGAATGAAAGCCATGCAGATTTGGTCCTTACTTTTGTATTTGCTGCTTATTATGTCACTTTGTTTCCAGAGGAGGATGAAAATTGGAAGCTTTTACTAGAATTGTCTACTTTAGTTGATTTTATTTTTGTTCCAAAATTTGCAATAGAAATAGCAACATACCTTAAATATATCATAGCCAGCCATTTGGTAAATTTAGAAGTTTCTTTTGGGAATCACACTTGTCTTTATCCTTAACATCATTTTTTGGTTCATTTACTAACAAATACTAGAAAATCTGGACTTCTTATTGGAATAAAATGTCTGAAATATGAATTAAAAAATTCATTTTACAAAAGATCTGCGCATATTGTACGCAATTTTAAAAATATATGCCTAACTCTTGCCAAAACACATCAATACAATCCCTTACATTATTGACTATTAAGTGCTTATATGCGTAATTTAATAATTTCTGTAAGCCATGATATGGTACCAATTAGTAGTCTTCATTATTCACAAGTACTTTGGACATTTTTTATAGTAAACCTACTGATAATATCTTCATCGCATTCAAAAATAAAAGGGGATCTCTTCAATACAAAACAAACCACCATCTTACTATTAGTGAAGATAAAGATTACCTGTTTTTGGATAAGTTATCAACTTTGTTAGTACCAGTGATGAGTCCTTATGGTTCGTTGTATTGTCTAAGCTTAACAAACGTAAATTTGTAAAGTATTGCCACTCTTTTTGGTCAAAGATGTCAAACTAGTTACGTATCTTGTTATAAAATTGGAAGAACTTATTGATGATAGCCCTGTTTTATCATATCAAAAAAGAAATGCATGTTATATAAGGCAATAATATCATGTTTTTAAGGAGAAAATTAAAGTGTTAAAACTTTTGTATATATTTTTTAATAATATCATAACTGGTATTATTGTAAAATTATTATTGCATGGTCATGTTGATTGTTTTGATCTATATTTGATTATTTGAATAATAATTGTTACAATGTCATATTGATTATTTTGTTACTGATTGTTGCAGTTATTTTTATGTTTTTAGCCACTATAGTTATTGAGTTATTTTGTTTTTTATCTTTGTTATGGATCGTTCGCAAATTATGTCACGCTTTTAGAGAGGAGGAGATTTTGTGACAAGCTGTGATATGGTGAGGGGGGAAGACGTAGGAAAAATTTGTGACATCACGGATGATTTGATCAAGTTTTTCAAATTTTTATATCTTTAAAATTAGCTCAAAACTATTAGCTCAAAACTATCGTACTAACTAATTTTTCTTTTTTTTCAAAAAAGAAAAATTAGCTAGTACGATGCTGTTTTGATGTTTTACAACTTATTTTAACTTCACGTAGAACAAGAAATGTCATTAAAACACTTAAAATTAGCTTAAATATACGAATGTATTATATATACAAAGCTTAAATATACAAATGTATTATCAATGCAGTGGCATCGCTGAAGGCGATGATTTACGATTTTATTAACCTTTTTTTTTTTTTTAATATATCAATTAAAAAAAGTAAAGAAACGAAAAAAGTTATAAATAAATCAACAGAAAATTAGTAGCCCTATAAAGTAAAACAATATTTAAGTTGAAAAGCGAAACAAAAAATAAGGAAATAAAAAATAAGGAAAAATAAAAAATTGTTTCTTAACTTTGTCTTATTACTTTTTAAAGTTAATAAATAATTAAATTCGAAAAAAAAAGAGTTTTAAAGACGAGCAATTTCTCGAACAAAAAAAATGAAAAATAAAGGAAAAAAAAATTGTATGTACTCTTGTATTTTTTGATTTGCATACTTTATTTCCTTATTTGGTTGCGTTTTTGGTTGCCCTCGTCCATTGTGTATGCGTTTGAGTTGTTTGTCTATTTAATATTTTTCTGGTTTACTTTGCTCATTACATAGGGGAACTTGAGGTAAGATGACGAATGGGGCAAGATGAAAACTTACCGTTATCTTTAAACCATGGCTATATATAAAATTTCTTTATAAATATTATTCCGGTGTTCGAAAAAAAAAAAAAAATTCACTTGTATTTGATTTATTACATAATTACGTCGCCATCTAACCCAGTGGGCACAAGAACGTTTTGCAAACGTTTTTAAAACGTTTAATGGTCGCTCGAGAGACGGTTGTATAATAAAAGCCTTTTAAAAACGTTTTAAAAACGTTTTTATTAAATATAATTTCTAAATTATATATTTTTTCAGATTCCATATTAACGGGATCTTTGAAAAACGTTTTACAAACGTTTTCTTACAAACTTTAAACGCGGAACTGCGCATGTCCATATTTTACAAGATCGTGGCTTGACATCTAATCAATTCAGTTCAAATTTCCGTATTGAAATTAATATCAAAACAGTACAAATTTCTTAACTTCAAATAAGCATTTTTAAACCTAACTATTATATGTTTTATGGTTTTTCCTATATTCCTTGAGAATCTTTTAATATTATTATGGAAAATATCACATTTTTAGAATAGTTTTGTTATAAAATTAGTAATCTCTGTTGCTGTATACAACTACTAACTAGCTAACCAAATAAATGTATTTGGTTAGCTAGGCTACTAACTCCCTAACCAAATAGATGTATTTGGTTAGCTGATTATACAACCATAAATAATAACTATTTATTATTTATGGTTGTATAACCATAAATAATAAACCGTTATTATTTATGGTAACCATTATAAACTATAAAATTTATAACTATATAGCTATTTTTATATTATTTACATTATTATATATATTTACAACTATATAACTATACAGTTATAACTATATAGCTGTACAGTTATGTATTAGTTATTATAGTTGTATTTTGATATATATATAAATATATATATATATATATATATATATATATATATATATATATATATATATATATATATATATATATATATATATATATATTTATATATATATATGTATATATATATAGAATTAAATATAAATATATATATATATATATATATATATATATATATATATATATATATATATATATATATATAAATACATACAGATATATATATATATAAATACATACAGATATATACTATATATATATATATATATATATATATATATATATATATATATATATATATATATATATATATATATATATATATATGTATAAACATATATATATATATATATATATATATATATATATATATATATATACATAAATATACAATTTATTTATATATAAATAAATAAATATATATATATATATATATATATATATATATATGTATATATATATATATATATATATATATATATATATATATATATATATATATATATATATATATATATATATATATATATATATATATAAGGTATGCTTAATACTATTATTAGTACCTTGTAAAGTAATAGAACTTATTAATTAGTAATTTATAAACTTTTTATTAAAATAAAAGAATCATTGATTATACTTAGTCTTTTAATGTCTGTAAAAATCTACGTTTAAACAAAGCTATGTAACCAATGAAATATCACAACCTATATAAACAATTTAATATTTTACGTATATATATATAATATATATATATATATATATATATATATATATATATATATATATATATATATATATATATATATATATATATATATAAGGTATGCTTAATACTATTATTAGTACCTTGTAAAGTAATAGAACTTATTAATTAGTAATTTATAAACTTTTTATTAAAATAAAAGAATCATTGATTATACTTAGTCTTATAATGTCTGTAAAAATCTACGTTTAAACAAAGCTATGTAACCAATGAAATATCACAACCTATATAAACAATTTAATATTTTACGTATATATATATATATATATATATATATATATATATATATATATATATATATATATATATATATATATATATATATATATATATATATATATATATATATATATATATATATATATTATTTATTTATATATATATATATATATATATATATATATATATATATATATATATATATATATATATATATATATATATATATATATATATATATATGTTATAAACTCTTATTTTTAACTCTTATTTTCTGATTTTTCCTCGTTTTTTGTTTGTTTGTTAACTACATGTTATATTTTTTAATATATAAAATTTTTTAATAAAAGTAGAATAAAAAAGTAAAATTTTTTATTGAGATTATTGTAACTTTATTTAAAAATCAATTTTAATGCAATTATTGAAATATTTTTAAAATACTCTTTAAATTAAAATCAGTAAATAAAAAAAATAAAAAATGATTACGTGAAACGTTAAAATTAAAAATTGTTAAAGGTAATATTTTTTTTAAATATTGTTTCTATTTTATTGCTTAAACAAACTTAAAAACTGCACAGACAGACAGTTATTTTAATATCTTTTTTTGTTTGGTTTTTGTATAATTTATGAGACAACTTAATGCTCTTCCTAATCATTATATACATCGTTAAATACCTAGTTGATTTTTTAATATCTTTTCATTCCTTTATAAATTGTTTAAATTAAAGTTTGTTATTTTTCATTCCTTTATAAATTGTTTAAATTAAAGTTTGTCAACTTTTTTTTATTACTCCAAGTTATAGTAAGAATGTTTTGTATTAGATTTTTGTTTATAATTGTAACAATGAAATTCATTTTTCCATTATGATTTAGTTTTCAACCATCATGATTTGGGTAAGAGCTGTATGGATTGAAAATTATAAGGAAATAGATGTTGTGACAAGAAGGTGGATAAATACAGAAAAAAAAAAATACTATTTTGGCCTTCTGGTATATCTTATCATAGAGCTGTCAATGATGAAATGGATGCAGATGAAACATTTAATTTGTCAACCGGATCAATTACACTGGCCAACAAAAAAATAATTTTTTTTTGCTGCCGAGGATATTTTTACGAATTTATAGTATATCGGGTGTGCTGGTTTCAGAAATGACATTAGTTTTCCACGATTGGCTCTAGTTCTTGAGATAAAGGGTGTTCCAGATATATTCTTATACAAATATCTTCGTTCATGCATATTTTACAGTAAAATAGTTTTATTTCTTTTTAAAGGGCATACCTTTATATATATATATATATATATATATATATATATATATATATATATATATATATATATATATATATATATATATATATATATATATATATATATGTATATATATTTATATATATATATATATATATATATATATATATATGTATATATATATATATATATATATATATATATATATATATATATATATATATATATATATATATATATATATATATATATATATATATATATATATATATATATATACTTTTTCCTGTTTTTAGAACACAATGAGTTCTTCACGAAGAGGATGTTTGAATAACCCCAATGCATTCTGCCACATCTGTGGTGAATATTGCCAGGAGAGCCAAAGAAGAAATATTACTAACTTTGTGAAGCAAGCATATCTGGCATACTTTGGAATGAAACTCGGAGACCAAGATAAGTCTTGGGCTCCCCATATTGTATGTAAAACGTGTGTCGAAAATCTACGTCAGTGGAAAAATGGACAAAAAAAAGGTTTAAAATTTGGTGTGCCTATGGTATGGCGGGAGCAAAAGAATCACGACAGTGACTGTTATTTTTGTTTGGTTAATGTGAAAGGTATCAATCGTTTCAAGAAGCGTAAATTTGAGTATCCGGATTTGGAATCAGCAAGGCGACCAGTACCACACTCAGACGATGTCCCCATTCCAGTGTTCACTACACTCCCAGATCTAACAGTGTCTGATGAAGAAGATATGCAGAATTTGGTGTGCGAACATGCAGATAGTGGTAGTGAATATGAAGACAGTACTTCTAAACAGCAACAGTTCTCCCAGGAAGAGATCAATGATTTAGTACGAGACTTAAGTCTATCCAAGCAAGATTCTGAGCTTTTAGCATATAGACTAAGTGAAAAGAACAGTTTGAAGGCCGAATGTGAAATAACTTTTTTCGGACAAGAGAGGCAGCACTTCTTCCATATTTCATTCAAGAAGAAAAAATAGTATACTGTTGGAACATCCCTGGACTCCTCCTCCAAATGGGGTTACCTGAATACCGACCAGAAGATTGGCGATTGTTTATAGATAGTTCGATGAGAAGTTTGAAGTGTGTTTTATTGCACAATAGCAATAGTTATGCATCCATCCCAATACTTCACTCAACAAAACTGAAAGAGGAATATGAAAATATAAGAATGATATTGCAGAAGGTTAGATACAATGAGCACCAGTGGTCTATGTGTGTTGATTTAAAGATGGTAAACTTCTTACTAGGGCAGCAAAGTGGATATACTAAGTACCCTTGCTTCATATGTTTGTGAGATATTAGGGCTAAAGAAGACCACTGGAAAAAGGTGGTATGGCCTGCTAGGGAAAATATGACTGTAGGTGCATCAAATATCATTAATGAACCACTGGTAGACAGGGGAAAAATTATTTTCCCACCACTCCACATCAAACTAGGACTGATGAAGCAATTTGTAAGAGCCCTAGACAAAGATGGTCAATGTTTCAAATATATTTGCAGATTTTTTCCAGGCTTGAGTATGGAGAAAATCAAAGCTGGAATCTTTAGCGGCCCTCAAATTCGCCAAATCATCAAGGATGAGCAGTTCCTATATACAATGACAGATATTGAAGCATCTGCCTGGAAAAGTTTTGTCTTGGTTGTTCATAACTTTTTGGGCAACCATAAAACTCCCAATTATGAAGAAATCGTACAGAAAATGCTTTCAGACTTCAAAACATTGAAAGCTAATATGAGCATAAAAGTTCACTTTCTACATAGTCACTTAGATCGGTTTCCCGATAATCTAGGAAGTTATAGTGAGGAACAAGGGGAGAGGTTCCATCAAGATATCAAGGTAATGGAAGAAAGATACCAAGGAAGATTGGATACACACAAAAGACAATCATACAGACACCGATTTTTAATGCATTAATTGTGATTTCATTGTACTGATTTGAATGTTTTGATCTATTAGAATTGTATGTACTTCCCCATAAACAATTTGATATATATATCTAGTGTTTTTTTGTGAATTACGCTACAACCTAACATAAATTGTTGCTATTAATGTACTTTCGTGACCACCCTGTATCTCAAAAACTAGAGCCAATCTAGGAAAACGGAGGTCATATTCGGAATCAGGGCAACAAGTTACCTATAAAATGACCCCCAAATGTTTTGCCGCAAAATCTTTGTTGGCCTGTGTTATTTTAAAACAATCAAATATTTGTTCTGGTATCTAATAATTATTAAATTATTAAATTTTAGAATTAATTCAATTTGCAACACCTTCAATCTAAAATATTTCTGGATTCTTTTTTTTAGCTTTGCCTTTACAGACAGAGGAACAATCAACTTCGTATTCTGAGTCACTGTGTTAATACTATTTTTAAATTTTATAAATAAAGTTTTTGTTTAATAAGGTTGAAATATTATTTTGACTGTGCACACATTTTAATTATTTTAGAAATGACTTCAAGACAAAAAACAATAACTGTTGGTCATTTTGAAATTGTATTAATTTTTTTTTCTGTATATATATATATATATATATATATATATATATATATATATATATATATATTTATATATATATTTATATATATATTTATATATATATATATATATATATATATATATATATATATATATATATATATATATATATATATGTATATATATATATATATATATATATATATATATATATATATATATATATATATATATGTATGTATATATATATATATGTATATATATATATATATATATATATATATATATATATATTTATATATATATATATATATATATATATATATATATATATTATATATATATATATATTTATATATATATATATATATATATATATATATATATATATATATATATATATATATATATATATATATATATATATATATATATATGTATATATATATATATATATATATATATTTATATTTATATATATATATATATATATATATTGTATAATTTAGAATACCAGCATATGATGTTCAAGATGGTATCAAAAATTCTTGAAAACTAATCTATTATTTCTGTAAATAAACAACCCCATAGTAATTTGGCAGTTAATCAATTAGAGACTATAGCAGAATACAAAGATTTTGTCAAATACTTAGAGGATGATTCAGTTCGCCTTGATTTGGTAAATACTTTGTCTTTACATATTGAAAATATTTACATATTGAAAACCTTGTAAATTTAAAATAACTATTTTAAATAATTTTGTTATTTTGGTTTTGATTTTTTCTTATTTAGGTTAAGCAACTGAGTTTTTTAGGCGCAGAAGATTATAAACAGCTGACAAGATTGGTTATGAATAGGTTTTTCTTATTATATTTTTATATGAGCAATAATATTTTTTATTTTTCGGTTGTAAGTATATATTTTAAGTATAGTAGTTATTGCAACCAATAATTACATTGGGATGGTAAATTGCTTATTTTTCATAAATTGTATTACCTATTCCTTATGTTATATAGATTATTTACAAATACCCTATTGGAACAGTTTAATTTAAAAGGTTCTGTTGGAAAAATTGGTTTTTTATCAACGAAGCTATATTATGTAATAGAAGGTAATAAAAAATAGTTATAATATAATAAAAATTTTTATCATTTAGTATTTGATTAAAAATGTATGTTAAGTTAAAATTAATTTTAAGATTTTTGATAGTCAAAATTTTTTATTTTTTTCCAGTTATTTACCTCCCCAAAGCCCGAGGGGGTCACTACAGTCGAAGGGGCTACTAATTTTTTTTATTTTTATTGTAAATCGTGGTACAACCCTCTCTCAACTCTTTAACTCCGAAACACGAATCTTGACAAGCAAGGCCGCTGCACGGAGAAATTAAGTTGAGCGCAGTACTTCCAGAGATGCAGTGGGAGTCGAACTTCGAACCTCTTGCATACAAAGTGAGCGCTCTTACCACTACACCACTGCCGCATAAATTATGTGGCAAGTTTACATTTTATTATTTGGCAAGTATTTGTAAACTTTAATTTATTTTTAGAAGTTGTAACAAGAAGGTTTGGAAAAGTTTCAAATTCTGATATAAGACAGCAAATCGGAAGATATTGTAAAAATGCTCCATCGCAGAAAAAAAGACACTAAAATTTATTTTTTATTGTATATATTATATGTTATATACATTGTTATACAGAAAGATACTTTATTAAAATTCATCTAATTGCATTATATGTCCCTTTTAACTAATTTTTTTTTAATTTTAATAATTAATTAATTTTTTTTTTAATTTATTTTTCCTCTATATTTATGTTTCTAATAAATGCGGCATTAACTTTATCTAAACTAAACACCTAAAAGTCTTCTAAAATAAGTCTTCTTGAGTAAAACGTTTTTAAAGCGCTTGGGTAAGACGTTTTTATTCTTTCTAGAGTAAAATGACTTTGAGCTATCTTGAATAAGATATCTTTTCGACGGACAACCTAGACCTTTTTAAGGTCTTTTTAGACATACAAATAAACGCGGTGGCGGCCCAGTGGGCATTTCGACGTCGAACGAACGTCGAGCGACGTTGGATCTCGACGTCGGATCGACGTTGGGTTTACGTTGGAAATGGAAATGTTATTTGACGTCGGATAAACTGACATCACGCGACGTCGGCATTCCGATGTAAATCCAACGTGTTTTTTGAAAACTAAAAAACACTGCCTTTGGCAGGAATCGAACCTCGGTCTATTAGTTACTAAATCCTATGCGCTTACCACTACACCACAAGGACATATTAATTAATGAGTTTATTTAGTAATTTATACTTGTAGCTATTTGGGAATTATTACTTTGATAAGAAATAATTTTGTTTAAATATTATATAAATATTAAAACGAATAATTATATATTATAAAAAATGTATACTCGAAAATGTTAATAGTTAAAAAACTATGCTAGTGCATCATACAAAACCTCATGATGTTTTATCAACCTTTATTCAAACTTTTTTCCATTAATAAAAAAACACGCTTAGTTCACATAATTATTGAAGAGCGCAATTGCACACATATTGTTGGGTTTGGATTAAATTTTCATCAGCGATGTCTTACGACGTTGTTCCGACGTCGTTTTAAGGACGTTGGATTGACGTCGGAGGACGTCAAAAGACATCGGAGTACGTTAATATTATGACGTTGCCCGACGTCTTTTTATCGACGTTGGATCGATGTCAGTACTGCGACGTTTTTTGGACGTCTTTTATAAGATGTCGGAACAACGTCAAAATACATCGAAACGACGTCAGGGGATGTTGAGATAAAGACATCGCCCGACGTCATTTTACTGACATCGGAACAACGTCGGAATAGGTCTTTTGACATCGCTGATGAAAATCAAACGTAAATCCGACGTCGGATTGACGTCGGGTGCCCACTGGGGGAGTTCTTATTTACGTGAAAGAAACCATTGCGCATTACCTTAGGAATAATTTAGGTTTTTCTGATGGCGATAAAGAAATTTTTACTATTGAAATCTTAAACAATGAATCTAAAAATGTATTACTAAGCTGCTGTTATCGACCACCTGACGGTCTGACTGAGAATCTGAGCACGTTTTTTGAGCAAAATGTTATCAAAATAGACATTAAAGAAAAAAAATAATTTATTATTGGCGATCTAAACATGAATTTTTTAAACTACGAGAATAATTGTAAAATAAAAAAATTTTATGATTTAATATTTGAAATAGGAGCAATTCCTTTAATTAATCGTCCAACTAGAGTATCAGCAAACTCAGCAACTCTCATTGACAACATTATTACAACTGATGTCTTCAATAGCAATTTACAAAAGGGTATATTGAAAGCAGATATAACTGATCATTTTCCAATATTTCTATCATTCAACTCAAATTCTAAAATTAAAACCAAAACTAATAAAAAAATAAGTAAACGCATATATAATATAAACAATATTGAACAGTTTAAAACACAATTATCACTGCTTCATTGGAAGCATATAAATTTTAATGACGACGCAAATAAAATTTATGGAAATTTTTTTTAAACATTTTATTCTGTCTATGATGCCAATTTTCCCATCTGTGAAAAAACAATAAATTTAAAAAGCTTAAATGTTCCTTGGATAACTAAGGGTTTTAAAAAATCATCTATGATCAAACAAAAACTATATATAAATTACTTAAAAACAAAAACATCTTTAAA